CCATTGGATGGACACTTAAATCTGCCAAAAAAGTTGGCAAATTTGTCTTGGAAGAATAACACAAAAATGTCATAAAATTGGCAAACATATGAACTCAACAACCAAATATTCAAAAAATAAAATTTTCAAAGGAATAAACACTTTAATACAAACGAAAATCACAAATAAGAAAGGCTAAATTGACATAAATAATCCCTACTTTTATGCATTTTACAAAAATAATCCCTACCGGAAAAGTTTACAACAATAATCCGAACTACTTAACTCTTTCACATAAATAAACCGGAGTTATCAGTGTGAACTTTCCCGTTAGTTTTTTTTTGCGTTTTAAATATAATGAAGTGAAAATATGTAGAAAAATCAAGAATATTATATACTTCCTATATTTGTCCTTATATTTAATTTTCTTATGAATTAAATTTAATAGTCATTATTTTTCATAAAATGTAATAGAAATATTTAAAAACATACTCATCAAATTCTCATTTTTATTTTAGTTCTAATCAATATTTTATTTATATTCATTTTTTATTTCATTGTAATAGAAATTTAAAAGTAATTTTCGTAATTATATATTAAACATAACTACGTACTAAAATGAATTAAAGTTTGTGTTCAAATATTTTTATTGTATTATACAAAAAACGTTATCATTAAATTTAATTTATAGTAGAAATAAGACTAAACAAAAACATAAAAAAAAACGGAAAAGTTAACACCGTTAAACTTCCGGTTTATTTTTGTGAAACAATTATCCAGTTGGGATTATTGTTGTGAACTTTTTCAGTAGAGATTATTTTTGTAAACTGCTTAAAAGTAGAGATTATTGGTGTCAATTTTGCCAATAAGAAATTAATGACAAAAAAATTAAAAAAACCGATTTACACAAAATCTATTCTGCCATAATCGATTGTCCATCAGTTTACACATTTCTGCCATAAATTTGGCAAGATCTTATGCCATCATCCAAAATTCCAGAAAATCGGGATTTTTTAAAAAGTAACAGATCTGAATCAGAAGTACGAAACAGAGGTCCAAAAATCAACCAAATGAATGTGAAAACTCATAAAAATAGAAGAATAGGATGAAATTATGAAAAATCAATGTTAAAACTAAGAAGGAGGAAGAGGAGGAGATGGAGAAATCTGACCAGAGGTGGTGTGTAGTGGAGTCAACGATAGCGGCGATGGAATTGATCGATGTGATGCGCAAGGAAGAAGAAGATGACTGATCTGATGTGCAGGGAGAGGAACTCCATGGATGAGATGCAAAAGGCGATTTGATGGGGTTTGCTGAAATCGATCGTGTGATGTGCAGAGAAGTGGGGGAAATAGGTTGAGGGGCAAAAATGTAATGGTAATTTCTCTATGTTTCATAATAGGAGCAATTTGGTCCTATTTTGAAATAAAAACATAGAAAGTCCTATTTTTGAATTTGAGCATAGTTTTACTCCTATTTGGAGTAATTACTAAAGACATGTTTACTTCACGAGTTACTAAACGGTGCTTACTAAGACCCGCGTTAATAAGCGGCGCATAAAATGAGCAACATTGTAAGACCGTGTTTACTTCAAAAGGGTTAAAACATCATTTAGCATTAAATGTCCAAAATAACCCTATTCATATATAGACACACAAACATTCATGAACACAAGTATTATGTGTACCCATACCCCTAACCCCTTACCCCCACCCTACCTTACCCCAACCCCACCCTATACCCCCTAGGCCCTTACCACCCTACCCCTACCACGTCAGCCCCACCCCGACCCCCCTCACCTACCATACTCCTACCCTACCTTACCTTGACCCCACCACTACCCCGTCCTCGACCCTACCCCGGCCCTTACCACGCCACCCACTTACCTCCCTTAACCCCCTACCATACACCCTACCCTACCTTACCCCGACCCCAGGCCCCCACCCTACCCAATCCCCACCCTTACCCCTAACCATGACCCAACCCCACTCAATACACCACTTGCCCCTACCTCGGCCCCACCCCAATCTCAACCCCAACCCCACCCCTTAAAACCCTACCCCACCCCTACTAGATGCCCCTACCTTGGCTCCACCCAGATCCTGACCCACCCTACCACCATCCTACCCCACATAGGGTGGGGTCGGAGGTGGGACCGACGTGGTAGGGGTTGGGGGTTGGGGTGGTGCCAATGTGGTAGTGGTAGGGTGGTAAAGAGCCTAGGGGTAAGGGGTAGGGTAGGGGTGGGGTCGGGGTAAGGCAGGGTAGGAAAGGGTGGGGTCGGGGGTGAGCCCGCTGGGGTAGGGTGGTAAGGGCCCAGGGTAGGGGTAGGGTGGGGTCAGGGTTAGGGCCAATGTGGTAGGCTGGTAAGGGGCCTAAGGGGTGGGGGCCGGGTAGGTAGGGGTATAGGGTGGGGTCGGGTAAAGGTAGGGTAGGGTGGTGTGGGGTGGGGTGGGGCCGATGTGGTAAGGGGTTGGGGTTGGAGGGGGCCCTAGGGGGTAGGGTGAGGTCAGAGTGGGGCCGATGTGGTAGGGTTGGGGTAGGTGGTAAGGGCCTAGGGTTTGGGGGTGGGGTAGGGTAGGGGTGGGTAAGGGGGGTCGGGTGGGGTGGGGTAGGTAGGGTAGGGGTTAGGGCCGGTGTAAGGTATGGTATGGTAGGAGTAGGGTAAGATAGGATATGGTGGGGTCTGGTAGGGCCGATGTGGTGGGGGATAGGGGTTGGGGTAAGGTGGTAAGAGCCTAGGTTGGGGTGGATGGGTGTGGTTGGGATCGGGGTAAGGTAGGGTAGGGGTGGGGTTGGGATCAGGTGGGGCCGAGGGTATGGATCGAGGCGGGGCTGAGGTGGGGGTGGGGTCGGGTAGGTAGGGTAGGGGGCCGGGGTAAGGTAGGGTATGGTAGGAGCAGGGTAAGATAGGATATGGTGGGGTCTGGTAGGGCCGATGTGGTGGGGGGTAGGGGGTTGGGGTAAGGTGGTAAGAGCCTAGGTTGGGGTGGGGTGGGTGTGGTTGGGGTCGGGGTAAGGTAGGGTAGGGGTGGGGTCGGGATCGGGTGGGGCCGAGGTGGGGTGGGGGGTAGGGTCGTTGTAAGGACGCGGGGGTGGGGGTGGGGTAATGGTCGAGTAGGGGTAAGGTACGAGGATGGATAGAGGTAGTGGGTAGGGTGGGGTCGGGGGGTAGTAGGGTAGGGCGGGCAGGGGGTAACAATAAGGGTAAGAGCAAGAGGTAAATTTGGAAACTGAAAAGCTTAAAGTGCCTATTAATTAATGGGAAAACTGTCAAATAGGTCCTCGAACTTTCATAAAAAGGTCAATTAAGTCCTTCTATAGGAGGTTCTATCCGGCCATCGCGATTTGGGGCATTTCCCGGTGGAATTTTTTGATGAAATTTTTTGAGCATCTTATTCACCAAGTCTAGTTTACTCATACCAAATTTCAGCTAAATATTGAATCGGGAACACATTCAAATTAATTCTTGAAGATAACTGCACAATTTTGCGTTCTCGAGTTAATTTGAATGCGCCCCTGATTAAATTTTGGGAAAATGGAAACTAATAATCCAACCTTTTAGCGGTCTTCTTTCAATAATCCAACCTTTTGATTATTCATGAATAATCCAACCTTTGCACTTCATCTTCATTCACTGGTCCCTGACCGGTTGATCACCTGCTATTTCAAGCTATTTTCTTATCTTTGCAAATCATTATACCATAAATCTCATCTTTCACAAAGATAATATTTTGGAAAGATAAGAAAATAACTTGGAATAGTAGATCATTAACCGACCAGGGACCAATGAATGAAGATGAAGTGCAAAGGTTGGATTATTCATGAATAATCAAAAGGTGGGATTATTGAAAGAAGATCGCTAAAAGGTTGGATTATTAGTTTCCATTTTCCCTTAAATTTTTAGCTGAAATATGGTAAGAGTAAAATAGACTTGATAAATAAGATGCTAAAAAAATTTCATCGAAAAATTCCACCGGGAGCCGCCCCAAATCGCGACGACCGGACAAAGTCTCCTATAGAAGGACTTAATTGACTTTTTTTATGAAAGTTCGAGGACCTATTTGACAGTTTTTTCTTAATTAATACATGGGGGTGGTATACTTAGTACGCGGCACTTTAAGCACCTATTTTGATTAGTAAGCGGCTTTTTAAGCAGCGCTACTGACCTAACTTTTTAAGCAGCGCTGCTAACCTATGTAGCACCGATATCGGTACGCGGAAACACGGAAACGCGGAAACGGGTACGGGGATACGTCAAAACAAAAAAAAGTAGGATACGGATACGGGACCATATTTATAAATATTAAAAGTTATGGGGGTGTATTTACAAATATTAAAAGTTATAGGGGTCTATTTATAAATATTAAAAATAGATTTTTTTTTGAAAATACATATACACACACACACACACATAATATCCTATGATGTCTACCCATTCATTGCATTGAAGCATTTTCCTTTTTCAAGATACTTAGTAATAAATTCATAATATTTCTCATATACACTAGTCATCTCGAAATATAAATATAGTCAATAAGTCATTAATTTAAAATGAGAAATAAGTCAAACAACTACAATCTTGAAATTAAAAGTGCAAGTATCCAATTCGGAGTATGAGTTAATGACTTAATTCGGATATAGCCATAAAGGTCCATTATTTGATTACCAAGTAAAATGTAGTTTTAGATTTTCATTTTTGTTTAGAATTTTATTAAGTAAATTTTGGGATTTTTTTAAAAAAAAGTTGATACGGGTATCCGTCAGGATACGAGTATCGGAAACTTTCAAAAAATTACAAAAAAAAATGGAAACTTTTAAAAATTGCAGATACGGCCCGGGAACGTACGGTACGGGTATCCTAGAGTATCGGATACGGGAACGTATCGGATACGCCGATAGGGTAAGTATCCGTGCTTCATAGCTTCTAACCTAACTGTGAGTTTAGGAGTTAAGTAAACTCCTCCTAAAAAAACTTATAACAGTGTTGGAATTGCCTTATCGCCATCTTCCTCTACCTCCCGCCCCCAATGCCATCCCAACTAAAAAAAACCTTCGGCAACTGAGAGCTTGTAACGTACTATCGACGAATATGTCTCCTTCGGCTGCGAAATTAACAGAAATACCAACTTTCATTTTCTCATATCCCGCTCGCCGACCGCCGTTTTATCTCCTACTCAAACCCCTCTCTTCCATCCGTCGCACCACCACCGCCGCCACAAAAAAGAACAAAGTGCCCTCCCTGAACCATGGTACTTCTAATTCTCTTCCTTCCCACTCTTCTTCATGGCTCAACAAATGGCCGCATCATGTAGACCCATTGTCAGCTAGCACAAATCCCATTTATTCGGACTCCCAAGTCCGAGTTCTAGACCAGCGCACTACAACCAGGGGCACTGCAATTGAAAGGATTGTGCTTCGGTTGAGAAATTTGGGATTAGGATCGGATGATGAAGAAGACGAAGGAGATGATAGGAATGAGAAAGATAAGTTGGGCGGTTTGTTGAAAAGGGACTGGGTTCGCCCTGATTCTATGTTGTCTGAAGGTGAAGATGGGACATTGCTGCCGTGGGAGAGCAGTGTGGAGTTGAGTGACGATGAGGAGGAGAAGGTTGACGGGGGGAGGAGGGTGATGGTGAAGGAACCTACGTTGGCTGAGCTGACCATCAAGGATGAGGAGCTTAGAAGGCTGAGAAGAGATGGGATGAGTCTCAGAGAGAAGATCAACATACCTAAGGCTGGTGTCACTGGGGCAGTTTTGGAGAAGATTCATCAAAAATGGCAGAAAGGTGAACTTGTGAGGTTAAAATTTCACGAGGCTTTAGCTCATGATATGAAGACTGCACACAGAATTGTTGAGGTTGGTACACTTTGACTCGTAGTTAGCATTTGTGTTTATTTGTTCTGCAACATTGGAATTCATAAGGAAGGTTTTAAATAAATAAGCTGCTACTTTTTAGGAAAGTGCCTCAAATTGATAAGCTGCTACTCTTCGAAAACATGCCATCTGAAATTAAATCCACATAATCAATCCCACACAGCTTCGATGTTCCTCGGATAAAAAATTCATTCAACCAGAAGAAAGCTAATGCAAACTAAATTAGACAGATTACACAATGAATTGATCAATAAAGGTATAGGCTACAGATATTCCCTCCTTTAGCCTTTTCTACTATTATATGGTGTTGCCTTAGTCCTTCTTCTAAACTGGCTCCTTCAGTTTGGCTTGGGCCTTCTGTCCTTGATTAATTTACACCATCAAGGTGTACATGAAATTGTGCATATCAATATGGACTTTATTTCCAGTATGCTTATTAGCTATCTGACCATACTACTTAGTCTCAATTGTCCGTTTTTTTGTTGATATGAATATGATCTTAAAAGACCCTTCATTTTTTGCTGTCAGCGTCGAACAAATGGACTTGTAATATGGAGGTCTGGAAGTTTCATGTTGGTTTACCGTGGAAATAACTATAATGGGCCTTCTTCAAGAGCCAAACCAAAAGATTTAGAAGACAATGACCCAGTGAACAACACAAATGAGAGCATTAATCTAGCTGAGGGGAAAATTGACCCGCTTTACTCTATCCAGCATAAGACCTTGACTGCAAAAGAAGCTGAGTTTAATAAATTGCTAGATGGTTTAGGACCACGTTTTGAAGACTGGTGGGGAACAGGAATACTTCCTGTTGATGCTGATTTACTCCCTCAGACAGTTCCTGGCTACAAAACTCCTTTCCGACTTCTTCCCACTAGAACGAGATCTAGCCTAACCAATGCAGAAATGACCAATTTACGAAAACTTGCAAAATCACTTCCATGCCATTTTGCCCTGGGTAATTTTCTGCCCTTTAGGTACATTTTTAATTGCTGGAATTGCGATGCTTAAGTTGTAACATTATCATGAGGATTCAGGTAGAAATAGACATCATCAGGGTTTGGCAGCTTCTATTATTAAGCTCTGGGAGAAAAGTTTAGTTGTGAAAATTGCTGTTAAACGCGGAATCCAGAATACAAACAATCAGCTAATGTCTGAGGAGTTGAAGGTGTGTTCGATCTTACTATTCCTTATTCTTTTTACCTTTCTGTTTCCTGATGTTGTGATCTAATGAATATGCATAAATCCGAGAGAAAATGTTTCATACATAATACATTTCAAGTCTAGGGTTCAGCAAATAAGCTCTGACATTATAAAACCAATGGACATTGATACCCATTGCAGCTAAATTATGTCATTTGGCACTTGAAGTGGACAGCCAATGAATATATTACTCCGTATTAGTATTACATTTGGTACTTTACATGACTTGATTATTATGCTTTAGAAGTTAAATACTACATGTTTTGGTATTGTGTTTGATGCCCTACAAAATCTTTTCCCGGGAATATATGGAATTGCCACTATGGCATTTGGTTCATTTGCTTAGAATGCAATGCCCAACTTTCGTCTGCACTTTTTACCAAATCAAGTTTTGGAGGAAGTAGGTTTCCTAGTTTCATGTTTGTTGCAAGAATAGTGGAGCATGTCATGTGGTATGCTAACATGTTTCTTTTATCTTGAATATACTACATTGATTAGTTAGTAACCTTAATTTCTACTCCGTATTTTCTTGCACTGTAACATTTCGGTGTTATTGGCTCTAAGCTCTTGCCCTGCTGCCAATGTCAATAGGAAGTTACATGTATCATATCTAGGTGAAAACTAAAATTTCCTTCCTATTCATAACAAGACTTCTGAACCTATATCATATATCTCTCTCTAGTGTTTTTTCCTTCTAAAAGAAAATAGCTAATTGAGGACTCCCATACAATGCTTGCATATATGGCTCCCTTATCTAGTACTAAACAAAACATTTTATGGCTGTAATACTTTCAAGATAGTGCTTTTGAACTTTAAAGTTTGGTTAGCTGAATAACCTTATACGTGTTAAGATGGATGTGTGGTAACAGTGCATCACAAAAATACTACCTCTGTCCCACTAACATTGGGACATGAGGAGGAGGTACGGTTATTAAGAAAAATCAGTTTATGTGGTTGGTATTGAATTGATAAAGTAAGAATAAAGTAACAATGATTTAGAACCACACAAATTTTACCAAATTTGGTATGGGACAATCTTAGTGGGACGGACCGAAAAGGAAAGATGAGACGATCTTAGCGGGATGAGGGAGTAATAAAATAGGAAATGAGGAGATCCACACAAAAGTGGCAGTAGTGGGTAGTTGGCTATCAAAGATAAGGTAAGACCATAAGAGATATTGGAGTACATTGGGTAGAGCATGTTTTTCAACGGGAGGTAGGAGTTCCATAGTTTCATTACGGAAAGTAAGATCAAAATAGACATTATCGAGGTGGTAAAACATGAATTAGGGCATTGGGCTTCAGGAGAACGCGGCTCTTGACAGAAAAGAGCGGAAGAATGGAAATACTTGTGACGTGTCACGTGTGAGATTCCATTGGTTTAGGATCAATCCCTTACATTTTTGTATGAACAGTTCATGTCTAGTGTTTGTCTTTCCTTTTTTTCATGGATCAATTTTTTTTCTTCTTGTTTGTCTTTCCTTTTTGGCATCGATACCATGGATCGATTCATGTTAGCCGACCCCAAAATCTTTTGGGATGAAGGCTTGGATGTTGTCATTGTTGTAGTAGTTCATGTCTAGTGTTTCTTGAGTTTGTTAATTTGTTTTGATTTCCTGACTATAGTTTATAATGTGATTTAATGATTTATGGCATTATGTTTTACATGGGTATGAAGTATAAACTAGTCCTAGTGCCATACAGATTCTTTTCCTTATTTATATAGCATTTTGGCACCTCAAAAAGTCCCGCATTGCATGTAGATAGATCTAATTTTCATGTATGTTTTATCTAAGTGTTAATACTTGATTTAGTCACTACTATATACTTTTACTCGAATTGGTACTCATCTTTCTATTAGGCTCAATTTAGGTTCAAGCGTACAATTTGGACAATTTAGTCTTCAGGATATTGTACTCAAATTGTCACTTAAGTGGTTCCAAATTACATACTTTAGGACCAAACCGGGTCCTAAGCTTAGTGAATCACCAAACATACCTTTCTTACATAGCAACAAATAGGTATGAGAACAAAGTTGGTTTAATTTGCATAGTTAAGGACCAATCTGAGTCTTAAAAAGTTGAGGACCAAATTGGGCAATAGTGAATAGTCAATGGACTAAACCAGGTATTACCACTTTTATTCTACTGTTGGAAGAGTATGAGAATGAACACACAGCAAATTGGACTAAATTTACTCTTACTAGCAACCTCTCCGCATATTAGAAATTAACAGGGGGAGTGCTACTGCTGAGAAACAAATACTACATAGTCATTTACAGGGGAAAGGATTTTGTACCCCCAAGTATTGCAAACGCTTTAGCAGAAAGACAGAAAATGACGAAACAGATATTGGATGTTGAAGAAATGGTGCGAAAGGGACCGGGTACGTTCATCCATGTGGGTATATCAGGTGAGGAACTAATAACAAGTGATTTAGCAGAACAACCTGAGGCTAAAGATGTTGAGGACAAACAGAGAAGTTGGCAGCGGGCTGGTTCTTTAGCGGAATTTTATGAGGCCCAAGCCCAATGGGGAAGAAGAGATGTTCCCCATGAAGAGCGGGAAAATATGTTGAAAGAAGCAGCTAGAGCAAGGACTGAAAGAGCAATCAAGCGACTTGAACATAAAGTAGCCATTGTAAGCGTATTTCTTTGTTTCAATTGGATTAGAAATATAACGGTACCTTACTAACCATTATTGTTTATTATATACTCCCTCCGTCCCATTTATATTGTCCCGGTTCCTATTCAACTGGTCAACACAAATCACTCTTAATTTCTTACTTTATATATCAAAAATTTATCAAATTTGATTAAGGTTTTTGCGACTTTGTAAAGCTTTAAATGAAGTTTCTGAATATGTATTTTTTTTTTCCTAAAAATAATTTGAGTGCGGACAGGGATCTGTTTGCTTTATCGTCGGTCAAACATCGTAAACCGTAAAGGGACACAATATAAATGGGACGGAGGTAGTATTTAGGTACATTTATATATCTTGGTTTTTCCTAGTATCTATTTTGGAGTTTTATCAATTTAGGGCCCAAGTATGCTATCCATCAAAGACGTGGAAGATATAAATGTCAATTTAGGAACTGAATGATTGAAACTGTCAATTAAGACTTAAATATGTTCAATTTTGAATGGTTTTATTTCTAATTCTTTTCATGTCAATTTTCTATAAAAGTTCATTGACAGGTCATATCAAATTTAAAAATAGTTTATTAAGAAGTATTTTAAAAAATCAAATTCACGGTTTTTTGAAAGTCTTGGATTGAATTTTTAGTGCTTTTTTATTTTTAGTTCCTTGTATGGCACCTTATTTAAAATTCTTTCATGGATCCTATACTATATTCAATAAAGAGTTTATTGAAATTCATTAGAAAATAAAAGAATCAAAATTGACGATTCTTTAAATTTCTTGGATTTGATAGTTTCATTAATTCAAGTCCTAAATTGATAACTTTAGGTGTGAACCACTAAAACTCTTTTTTTGTTTGTTACAAATACTGCAACTCTAAGCATCATGCATTGTAGTATGCAAGTATGCATCTTAACTTCTATCTGGTCAATGTCTGAACAGTCTCAAGCAAAGAAGCTTAAAGCAGAGAACCTTTTATCAAAAATTGTAGCATCGTGGGTTCCTGTTGGTCCCTCTGATGACCAGGAAACAATCACAGAAGAGGAAAGGGCCATGTATCGTCAGGTTGGATTGAAGATGAAGGCATTCTTGCCACTTGGTTAGCTATTTTAATTGATATTTCATTTTGTTCAATTTCTTCTCAACTACCTCTTTAGTACTCTGCATTGATCAATATGATCCCAAACAAGAGCCTTTTGGGAATAAGGCTTGGATGTTGTTGTACAAATGTCATAGATCATGAATTCATGATTCATGAGTCTTATCTTTTTAAATTTTATCTGCCTGGTTTCAGAAAAGTTATCATATGTAACTTGTATAAGACTTTTTTTATATCAATTTTGTGGCACATTATATGAAAGAGCTTTGTTTGATTAGTTTTGGCTCTCTTTTTTGGACAAGTGTTCGAAATGACAATGTTCTGCTTAATCTTCTCATCTTTCAGGCATTCGCGGAGTTTTTGATGGTGTTGTTGAGAACATGCATCTTCATTGGAAGCACAGAGAACTTGTAAAGTTAATTTCTAAAGAAAAGGAGCTTGCTTTTGTAGAGGAAACAGCTAGACTTTTAGAATATGAAAGTGGTGGTATTCTGGTTGCAATTGACAGAGTACCCAAAGGGCATTCTGTAATTTTCTACCGTGGGAAAAATTACAGACGTCCCATTAGCCTCAGGCCAAAGAACCTTCTGACTAAGGCAAAGGCACTGAAGCGCCGTGTGGCTTTGCAACAATATGAGGTAGTTTCATCCTACACTTGCAACTTTCTTTTTAAGGAGTATGTTACTCTCTCCTTGTCAAAATAACTGATAAAAAATTGTTCCAAAATACTTCTCACTTTTCATTTTTAAGAGGAAGTGTTTCCCCAACTTTTCCCTTCTCGCCGTGTGGCTTTGCAACAATATGAGGTAGTTTCATCCTACACTTACAACTTGTTTTTAAAGGAGTATGTTACTCTCTCCTTGTCAAAATAACTGATAAAAAATTCTTTCAAAATACTTCTCACTTTTCATTTTGAAGAGGTAGTTGTATATCTCAATTATTTTTTGTTGAAATTTGAAAGGGTAACGGACGATTGCGATCATTTTATACACATAATTTACCTGTTGAATGAGTTCTGCAATATGCTTGATACTACTTTGAAAGACAAATATTTTGAAACAGAGGAAGCACTATATTATATAACTTGCTTTTTCTGATATATGCGCTTTGTTCTGTAGGGTCTGAGTCAGCATATTGCTGAACTGGAGAATACCATAGAGCAAACGAAAAGAGATATAGTAAGCCACAGTTTCCTGTACTGTTAATATTAACTGAGTTTGATCCTTTCAATCTGCTATTACTATCTGTTTGTGTTGTAGCCATTTTCTCTCTATGCCAATACTTCCTCCTCCATTCCTAATTAACATAGGAGTAAAGCAGGTTTTCTCACTTCTTATACTCTGTGTGACTATCCTAAACATGTCGGGGGTCATTGCTCACCTTATTCAGTTATTCTTATCCAATTATTATGTTGGCATAGTTAGGCCATTATAACTGGGCTGTATGCCTGTATCTCAATTAGTTTAAACTTTGACGTTCTCTTTCCCTTTATAATCAGTACTCAAGCTGCAGTTGAGTCTTGCTGAAACCATTTTTTTGTGGTACAGATTGATGAAATAATTTGATCATTCACTATAGTATGCAATTTATACCAGTGCCATCATATACTTTACGTTTGATTCATTTTCCTCATTAACTGAGACTTAACGTTTTATATTTGGATATTGTATAGGGGGTTACTCAAGATGTAAAAGGATTCAACTCAAATTTGGAGGACGGTTGCCAGTTCAATCGTTTTTCTGAGTTAACACAGGTGGGTTTCTTCAACCTGAATATCTGCCAAGTCCCAAAGTACTAGTTTCATTTTCCTCATTAACTGAGACTTAACGTTTTATATTTGGATACCGTATAGGGGGTTACTCAAGGTGTAAAAGGATTCAACTCAAACTTGGAGGACGGTTGCCAGTTAAATCGTTTTTCTGAGTTAACACAGGTGGGTTTCTTCAACCTGAATATCTGCTAAGTCCCAGAGTACTAGTATCACTGGCCACTGTCCCCGTATGGGATGGTTATAAATCACTTCTCCAAACAAACAATTTTCTCAAAAGCACCAAGTTGGCGCTTTAATAAAGTTCTTTTAACCCAAAAAATAGCTTAAAACAATGATTTCCAATACAGAAAAGTTGTTTTTTCCAATAAAATTATGACTGTTTTGCTTTTGAAAAGTTTCCAAAGTTATGTGCATCAAAAGTGTTCCCAAACAGGCTCAGCTATTAGCTTGGAGTTATAACAAAATTTGCATGATCTTTATTTCTTGTATGATACATGTGCATATATGTTTAGAGTGGAATTGAAGCTTCATGGGAAGAGTCCGAAGGCGATGAAGATCCCGAGTGGGAGAATGAAGAAGATTCTGACTATTCAGATACAGAGTTTTCAGCTACTCAAAGTGAATAAAGAACACATTTCTCTATTGTCTTATCAAATTTCTATGGATCATGAAGACTTCCTTTTTCAGGTAATATGTAGCTTCTAGCCCCCTTTGGTAAACTGGTAGCTTTTGGCAATGGCAGTGTGGTAGGTTACCCTTGTCCTCAATCTCTGATTCTTTTTTTGTTTTGCTTCTTTTAATTATTTGCATTGCCATGTATACAATTAATTCCACCATGGACACTGATCTTTTGTTTGGATTAGGGAAGAAATAGAAAAGAGAGAAGGGGTGAGAAGGAGATGTGGAAGAGAGAAAGATTGTAGATATTGTGTCCTATTTGGTAGTAGATAGAAAATGGGTTGAAATTTGGAGTGCATTTCTCTCAAATGAGGGAGAAGAAATAAAATATGGGCAGAATGCATCATCTAAACTTCTCTCATTTCCATTTCCTTCCTAACTAAACAACACATAAAATTTACATTTCTCTCACCAACCAAACACAGGCTTGAACATAACCTGAACTCAACCAAACTGCAGGTAAATCTGTAAAAGCTTGATGTTCCACTGTTCCAGTGCACTACACACCTCATAGGATTACGAAAACTGCCTTTAGTTTGCGGTGATTTTTTTGTTGACATTTATTTATGATGATGCTATTATTATTATTATTATAAAAAGAATAATGATTATTATTATCAGAATTATTGTAATTGTTATTGTTATTATGCATGACTTAAGACACTTTTAAGGTGAATGGGCTTTCACATGTTGCCTCTGAAGGCTTCTCACTGGTGGTGGAGAGGGTGGTGTGTCTGGACGATTTTGTGGAACACAAAGAATCTCATGCTATTGCAAACTGGTTGAGCATACATGTATTACACCACACCCCAATGCATAATTATTAGCCATGTTGTGTTTATATCAGACAACTTTGTATATCAGTCTTAGCCCAGGCAAATCAATTAATATGGTCAGACATCTTCTGCAAGTAATGCAACCAGTTGACAGCTGCAAAGATTGCTAACATCAGTCATTTGAAGCAGCGCATGTTTTGTGCTTTTGACACTCAAATATATAGTTTTGTAAAAGTATATTCTCAACTTACCTTGCACTTGTTTTGTTTCCCCTTCCAAATATTTTTGCAACTTGTACCTATCCATCTGTACACTAACGATTAGGTTCCTTGGAGATGCAAACATGCATTCGCAATGTCTTCTATTGGAAACATGGCATAGTTGTATGGATGAATGTGATGAAACACCTTTTGTGACAGTCCCAGACTCCCAGCTAAGATAAATTTTATTTCAAAAGTAACAGAATATGATGAAAACTAATTCATGTATTTGCTGATGTTATGTATTGCAAATGTTATGGGTGGACTCGGGCCGGAAAACTAGGGCCCGAGCCCGAACCGCCGGTGGTCGGTTCCGGTTCCGGGCCAAACCGGTCCGGGCCGGGCCAAACCGGTCCATTTTTTTTGTTCTATTTAACCCCCTACCCCTCCCCCTCCACCCCAAACCACCCCAAACCACCTCAAATGGCCCAAAATACCTAATCCAACCCAAAATTTAAAAAAATTTCAAAAAAAAAAATTAAAATCCGGCCCGGACGGGGCCCGGACTGGCTGGGCCGGTTCACCTAAAGCAGGGCCCGAGCCCGGACCGCCCATCCCCCGGGCCAGGCCAAACAGTAACCGGGCCGGGCCGGGCCACCCGGCCCGAGTCCACCCCTAGCAAATGTTTGATTATGCGAAAGATGGGCAAATATTTATTTGGAATCGGGGCGGAACTAGGTCAGGCAGTCCTGGTTCTAAATAATTGAAGCCCAGTTTGGTCCGGTACCGGTTCCAATCCGGTCCAAACAATATTGTTTTTTTAAATCAAGTGTTTGGTCAGACGGCTCAAACCGGACTCAAAATTCAAGCCCGATGCCTGCCCCTATTCAACCATGGTTCAAGTACTGGGTTGGTACCGGTAGTCCGGTACCGAAAAACTGGCTCGGGCAAGTACCAAACAGTACCAGACTACCAGTCCCAGGTCGGTCCCGGGTCAGGCCGCCCTGACCCAATCCACCCCTATTTGGAAATTGGAACCACAGGAAAAAGTTATCGAACAACTAATTTTTTAAAGATAAAAAGGAATCAACCGATTCCCTAAAATGCATTCAAACAATGTTTTTGGGATGTCTATTTTAAAATTTAAAACCAAAAGAAAAAACTTTTTGAAGACATAGGTTCTACTGAATTCATCACATGTTTTTAGAACGGCACATAGGCACATTGTATTTGGACACTGTAGGGAATGACTCATTGACCATCAAGGAATTATATAAACTCAAGAAATTGATAAATAGACACAGTATTTGGACAATGTAGGGTAGTCATGGACCCGGTCTGACCGGCCCGGGAACCAGCCCGGCCCGAGGGGGTAAGGGGGTAGGGGGGGCGGTTCTGGTACACCAAAGAGACGAACCGGCCTGGCCCGGAACCGGTAGCCTCTCGGGCCGGTCCCGGGCCTTACCCAAAACCTTCCAGGCCCGGCCGGGCCTAGGCCCGAATCAGAACCGGGCCCGGTCCACCACTAATGTAGGGAATGACTATGACCATCAAAGAATTATATAAACTCAAGAAATTGAAAATACAAACAATAACGGAGAAACAAGAAGACAAAGTTCATAATTAACATGCAATTATGAACTTATAATTAACATGCAATCCATGCGGAGAACATACATATTGAACTCATGGAACCTGATGTCAAAATACAAGATTCTGCCACAGAATTGCAACGTATGGTCTCAAAAGAAGTTGTTTTGTACTTGGCCAACTTTGCTCTCCTCTCACTTACGCAGCATTTGTTGCAACTGAAGAACTTGATTCCTCTGATCAGGAGGCAACAAATGTATCTGTTCAGGTGTGAGACTCATGACTTGCTGAAGAAGAGCATGTTCCATCTCTGGAGTCAACTGCATCATCATCAATATTTTACCAGTTTAGTGTATGTTTGACATGACATTCCACCCTTAGATTGTCGATGAAATATAGCAACTAAATGAAAAAAATATTGTTAAAGGGATCCGACAAGGCCCGACCATGTAAATTTGAACTTTGGGTGTGTTTGCAAAATGGCGTTTCAGACTTTCAGCAAAAAAACAATTTGACCATTTTTAGCGTTTTCAATAAGTGAAAACGCCGATCCATGTTGTTCGGTAAACAGTTGTTCAGCCCTACCATTTTTAGACGGAACCACTGATATAGAACCGCCGCAAATAGTAGCGTTTTTTGTTCAACTTTTTGAAATAGGGCATTACCCACCAACCACTGCGGCCAAATAGTTAAATTACCAAACATCTTTTTGTAACCCGCCAATTCAATTCGCTGAAAAAATCTACTATCAACAATCCACTAACATAACCCGCTAACCGGTGATAGCCAAACACACCCTTTATCTGCTTCATTTCAATTCTATCATTACATATGTATCCCCTAACTTTTATTGGGTTCTAATCATGTACTCCCTCCGTCCCGTAAAGATGTTCCCGGTTTGACCTACACACATATTTAGAAAATAAATTTGACTTTACTGTTTAGACACTGTTTGGCACTATTTAGACACTGTTTGGCACTGTTTAGACACTCTTTGGCACTGTTTTGCACTATTTGACACTGTTTTGATGTAGGATAACTTTCCATTTAGGGAAAAAGGAACTTCATTTTGGGACATCCAAAAAAGGAAAGCGGGAACATCTTTGCGGGACGGAGGGAGTATGTGGAAAATCTGATGACAATAACCTTAAGTTATCAATAGGTTAGTTAGTAGTTGATTCGCTTTAAATATTCCCAACTTTGAATTATTTAAAGATAGAAAAATGCTTGTATACAGACAATTCTGTCTGCGTAGACAGACAAGTGTGCCAAAAGTATACACAAAAACGTGTACACCAAGCACGGTTCTTAAAAATAACCCCAATTATTGCGTCAAGTTTACTATAATACTCAAGTCAATGGTTACTTATTGTTCCAGTTCAAAGGACTATTGCATGTCAGATAGACTCTAGCTGAATCTCTAATTTGTAGCAAAATCGAAGGCTGACAAGTCACACATTCTTGTCGGACTCTTCTTTAAAAAAAGATGAAGGATGTTCTCAATGGTCTACCCAAACTCATTTTATGTCACCTACCCAAACTTCAACAGCCAGCAATTACCAAAGGCTATTAACATTTTAAATAGGTCAAGGGGAGCACTTTGGAAGATTGACCCAATTATCGGGATTACATTGATATAATTGCTGGGTATTTTAAATAAAATCTAGTTGCGGATTTATTTAAAGCAGACTGTCCATAGTTAGTATCATTGTCATCATTACGCTTTATTATTATTATTATTATTATTATTATTATTATTATTATAAATTGTACATTTATAGGTCCATTTACGCTTCTCATATGTCATTTCATCTGATTTTGCCAAATCCGCACTTAGATGTCTTCGGGCTACAAACATAACATAAGAAAAATTACAATATCAACACAAATTAAAGAACGCATGACTCACAGCTGATTGTCGAGCGGATTGATTCCCGGTTCCCATTTGTCCCGGGAATGGTGGGGGAGGCCCGGGAAGCTGCGCTTTTGGTGTATTATTGTCTGGGAGGAGGCCGGGTATCCATGCAGAGTTTGCTCCTCTATCCATGGGCATAGAGCTTCCGATGTGATTGAAATCTGTTCTTATGTGTGAGCCTCCCCCCTTAGAAATACATTACATACGTCAGTAAGCATGTCAGTTTAAGAGCATTTTATGAAACTTAAAAAAAGTGAATAGATACGGAGAGCTGATTTTGACTAACTTCAAGGCTCAAGATATAATTAAAGTACTTAAGGGTTGGTGGAAGAAAGTCTTCGGGGTTTATTCCAATCAAAATGATTTTCCTGGATGGAGTAAAAATAGATTTGCTCAAACTAAAATACTGTTCACTCTATGCCCTGGCCATTTATAATCTCCCAACCTCATCTTAGACTGAATACTCCCATCACCGTCTCATTGGCATGCGACTATTTTACATTATAATCATCTTGTTAATGAAGCTTTCTATTCTATAAGCCACAATTTCCTAGTCTCCATTGTATAAACTAATAAAAGATGTCTTGTTGGTTCTATTTCAGATTGCTTTTATTTACATCTCACATTGCTCAGAGCCTCAGATTTATTTGCTATTTTCCTTATTGTGTTGACTTGATTACTTCTATTATGTTTTTCCTTCAGAAACTTTCTTACAACAACAACATCCAAGTCTTATTCCCAAAAGATTTTGGGGTCGACTAAGTGCTAACATGAGTCGATCCATGATATCAAAGGCAAAAAGAGAAGAAAGATAAGACAATTAAAAGATAAAGTAAAATAAATGGATAAGATAAAGATAAATATAAGATAAAATAACATAAGAAAGATAAGAGATAAAAGAACATAAGAAAGATAAAAAATAGAAATAACATAAGAACATAAAAAGATATAGAAGATAAAAGAAAAGGACAAAGAAAAAGAAAAGAGATCAATCGTCCACACGAATATGTGGCCTCCGTTTTGCTCTCTCCAAAGTCATACTCTCATCCAACCCGAGAAGAAGCATATCACTTCTAATTCCTCTAATCCAAGTCTTTTTGGGTCTTTCTCTCCTCCCCGCCTCTTGTCTTCACCGCTCAACTCGTCTAACAGGCGCATCACTCGGTCTTCTACACACATGACCGAACCACCGCAATCGAGACTCATGCATCTTATCTTCTAATTTGTCTATAGGTGCTACTCCAACATTTTGTTTGATTATCTCATTCTTCAAGCAGTCTTCTTTTATATGTGAAAATTTTGACAATTTCAGATTTTATGAAAAAGTCCATTATTGTTATCTAATTTACAAGCATGCAAAGATCACAGAAAAAGTTCAAGTTTGTCTCATTTTGAATAAAAGGTTCTTTTTGCTATCATGCCTTTTGTGTTGGGTTGTATGATTATGTGAAATTGATGGAAACTTAGACATATATACCTATATGGCTTATTGGCTTTGATAGGAATTCTTGAAATTCTAGTATTCAACATTAATAGGTAAGGAAGTTTCTTGCTACTGTTTGAATATGAATGCTCAGTGGGACTATGTTCAAAACAAGCTGCATTTTTCTTTGTCCCCTTTTCTTTTGGTTTCGAATGTGAAGCACATGGATACTGCTGGATTTTGTAAACTCAAACGTTGTTACTCCCTCCGTCCCGTTGGAAGGTTCCCGTGGGTAAA